TAGAGCAAAAAAAACGGCGCAGTAACACGGGGAATATTCCCTCCTGTGTTATTCATGTGTTATTGCGCGTTATTCATGTGTTATTGCGTGTTATTCATGTGTTTTTGCGTGTTATTCATTTGTTATTGCGTGTTATTCATGTGTTATTGATGTGTTATTGTGTTATTATAACACCAAGAATATTCTCAGGATACAATAACACATGAATAACACACAATAACACTTGAATAACACCGGGAATATTCCCGACAGAAAAAAAACGACGCAGTAACACGGAGAATATTCTTCCCCGTGTTATTTATGTGTCATTGTGTGTTATTGATGTGTTATTGTGTTATTATAACACCAGGAATATTCCTAGGACACAATAACACATGAATAATACATAATAATACATGAATAACACGGGGGGGAGAGAATATTCTCCGTGTTACTGCGCCGTTTTTTTTTCTCTATCGCGCAGGCTGTGGCGGCGTTATTTCATTCCACGCAGGGCGTCGTGGCGTTATTTCATTCGCTACGCATATTACTCTACGTGCGTAGTACTGATGTAATATTTTTTTCCGTATATGCTGGGGGTAATAAAACAAGAATTCAGTGATGCGTAATCCTTTCTTATTCTTCCCCTTCTAAGAACATCATAACGAAGGACAAAACCAGCAACTGTGCAGGTCTTCACATTGGAATGAGCAGTGAAAAATAGTCCAGCACAAGAATAATCAAAGAGAAATATGATGGTTCATCCTTTATACAAATCTGTAAAATTGGATACGTACATTTGGTGGCATAGATCAAGCATCTAAGCAATGATTCGCCTCCCAAAACTTGGAACCAACTTTGGAACAAGATGATGATGAAATAGGAATAGAACAATTTGAGAAGTCCCTGACCGACACGCATCCCCGATCACCGCAGCTGGTCACTAACCTGTAACCATCCACAGCCATGGCACTAAATCCTACAGGCTTTTCAGTTGGATTTTGGAATGAGAGCTTGTTAAAAAGGTCCAGTGCATTCGCCAGGTTGCCTGTGTCAGTTTCCCAAACATTTACACAGCAATCAGATGGCCCTGCTGTGACTATTTTGTAAGAGTCCATATGCAGGTACTTGACTGGACCAGTGTGTCCTAACTCTGCAATAGGCGCAGGCTTCGCTTGACTTTTCCTGATATCCCACAGCATAGCCCTGGATCACAGATGACAAGAAAACAACGGCATATAACATCAGATATCTGGAGCAGTGTTCAAAAACTGGGCGTTTCAATCTAATAGAAAAAGCATGTATCCATACTTATCTTCTCCACCAGTGCAAAGTAACCATTTTGAGGGTAGCATCTCAAAAGAATATGTCTTTGGGGAATGAACAGAAATAGTTGCAACGCTCTTCATGGTTCTCAAATCAATTGCCGTTACAGTCATGCCACTAGCAATATAGCACAGTGAATCATAACACTGCATACCAACAGGAGGGCCAGAAACAGAAGCCATCCCTACACAGGAAGAGGAACCGGAAGATGACGATGCCATTGCATCCCAGACCCTAACCTATAGATATCAAAAGTTAAGTAAAAAACAATCTTATGCAACTAACCAATAATAGATCATTAAGTGCGCAGCTGATGAGCATATTTTAGAAACATAAAAAAATAAAACAAATCAAATAAACAGAAGATAAGTCGCTCAAAAGGAGCAATTTAAAGCATCATAAATTCAAGTGGAAAGAACTTAAACCAAGTAAATTTAAAGGCATGTTTCAGAATATATGTTTGTATCATCCCAAATCCAATAAGATTGACTAATGAATGCAAGGAGTGATCGCCAGGACAGAGAGGCATCGACAATGAGTGGCTCTTAGTAGACTTCTTGGACAAAAGGGAGTAAAAACTACCCTAATCTCATATCCAAAATAAAATAGAAGAGAGAAAAATATGTTCCTATAATAATGTCTTTAAGCCAAATAGGCGAAGCACATGTTTGAATTGACAGTTGGAGTTTTATTGGACTACTCCAAAGTTGAGTGTGTTTGCGCTAGCAAACTCCTACGAAGGATGCCTATGGGCTCCGAAAATTCAATGCCCTGGCCTCCCTTAAGAAGAAAAGAGTGATATGAGTGACGGAGTTTATCTTGAAGTTCCAAGTCAAATTTTTAGATGACATGAGATAGTAGATAAGACAATACCCAAAGATTTAGGCCTCATTTTGTGAGCACTCTTTTGATCTAGAATTTGAGGTTTCCGACATGGTTAATTACCTCTCCCAGTAACGAAAGAGCAGTTTCGATTAAGGCTAGTCATTAATTTTGAATATTTAGCATATAGTAAGAACACACACAAGTTTTAGGTTGGTCGATTTATCACCTTGAGCTTAAAGCAGATAGCGGGAAAATGGTTATGAACCCAATAAGGGTCCCATGATTCTATTGCCCCAGGTCATCGCTGTCCATGATTTATTTAGTCAGAGAAGGTAGTAGACCTAACCTAATTGAAAGATCATTGTCAGTAACCATTGGTTGTGTCATCCAAAAGACCTTTGTAAATCTAGGATGAATGTTTGTCTAAGAGGATAAATTTAAATCGACCTTAACCAGGGCCGAAACCAGCTTCTTTTTTGAGGGAGGGAAAATTGCCTGCTAGACTCAATGTGGGAGGGGCTAAGACAATGAATGGCAAAGTGATATTTCAGGAAGGGTAAAACTAATATTTTAGAAGAGGCAAAAGACCAAATTGCCCTCTCATATAAGTAAAAATTTGAATTTGAGAAGGGACAATTACCCCTTGAACCCTACCTAGGTCCGCCCTTGACCTTAAGTAAAGAAAAGAATGTGTCAATCAAATGCATTATTATTGTCTACAACTTAAATGGTATAATGTTATTGGAGAACATACCGACCACATCAGTAATCATAATTTAATGATATCATTTGGTGGCAACCCCTTGATCATAAGGCTCTGGTCATAACCGTTATTTTTGGGAAGTCATCGGACCAAACCACAATAATAGAGGACTTGGTTCACGTCCTTACAAGCATGAGATTGCTTTAAGTATGAATATAGTGAGACACTCGATGTGATATCTATTTTTTGTGAATTGAAGTTAATCAAAAGTTACCTTCAACAAACTATAACTGAGTATGGATGTAATTTGCTTAAAACTTTTAAGTGATTAAATTTAACTTGGATTTTTTAGTTTGCAACTTCAAACTTTTGATTTGAAAAACTCGATTTAAAAATTGAGACCATAGTTAAGATTTTTAGTCAACATGACTATCATCGAGGATTCAGACATTTGAAATACTCATGTTTGCAATGCATTTGTAATTTAACACTTAAATATAACTAAAATATCAGTCACGTCAACTTTAATCCTAACAAAGGAGAAGGATCGCAGTAGGTGATTTAGACTTACAAACATTATATTTGTTATTTGGACATTATAAGTATTAGAGTCGTCAGCTCCAATTCTTAAAAGGAAATCTGATTATAGTTGAGTTAGACTTCTGACTTTGATCTATAGATAGTGTCTTGTTTGAGTGTGCTTAACTTGATTATTTTAAAAATGATCTCAAAACATGAGAGTTATCAATTTAAAAATAAACATAATTTTTTTAATGGACGATTGAACATAATTCAAAGAATAAGCTATTTGAGTACAAATCTAACCTTAACTCCTGCAACATTCTTAAACCGTTATTAAAACATTTTATTATGGCTGGAGCACATGCAAGTAAATTAAACGTGATTTTAAGTTTTTCTATGCAACATTCTCGAACTACTGGTTAAAACATATAGCACTTTAGTTGGAGCACATGCAAGTTTATGATTTTGAAGTTGTTAGTACATTTTATTGCATTCATAAAATGCATTTTATATGAATCCTCACACATATATGATCATAGTACTTTGCCTTTGGAGATCCATTTTGTGTTGAGTTGTATGTTGGTGATGAACCCCCATGGGTTTGTATTGTACTTTTTTGGGTTTTAGTACCTTTTGTTTTAATTAAAAAAATTAATCTCCGGGTTTTTGCAAAAAAAAAATGATCATAATACTTTGCCTTTCAAAATATAACATAATGTTTGATACATTTACTAATACAATTACAGATTTTAAAAATATTTGCAAATATTTTAAGATAAATGTATTGGAGCTAGAATATATTTTGAAATGTAAATGCAAGTCATAAAATAATTGGAATTTATTGATCATGCTTATATCATTTTAAAATGCCTGCATATAAAATAAAATCACTCACACAACAACTTGAAACAGATTATAGTGCACTTGCACAAATCTCAAGGTGTTGAATCTATGTTGAACACTCTTTAATACGCATGACATCAACACCAACAACAACAACAAGCCATTTTCCCAATAAGTGGGGTCGGCTACATGAATTCTATTTCTCCATTATGTCCAATTGAGAGTTATACTTTCATTTAATTCTAATAAATTAAGATCAATTTTTATACAATATGCCCAAATTTTTTTTAGGTATGCTCTTGCCTTTCTTGAAATAAGACAAATCTAAAATATCTACTCTCCTAACCAGATCATCAGATGACCAACGCGACCTAACCATCTAAGATGACTCTCTAATCTTGTCCGCCACTGGAGCTATATCAACCCTATCACGGATATATTCATTTCACATTTTATCTCTAAGTGTGAAGTCAATATCCACCTAAGAATTCTCATCTTAGTAATACTTAACTTTGTTTTATGCTTCTCTTTTAAAGACCAACATTCTGCACCATAGAGCTTTGCAGGTCTCACCACCATCTTATAAATTTTTCCTTTACGTCTAAGCAGTACTTTTCTATCACCCAATAGACCCGATGCAATCCTCCACTTCAACCAAACATGAATTCTACAAATAACATCCCCATCTATATCCCTATTCTCTGAATAATAGACCTGAGATATCTACAAACGTTCACACTTTTTAATAATTTGATCGCCCATAGTTACAAGTCTGTCACTAGAGCTACTACCTATAAAATTATATCTTTGTATTCAGTTTTAGATCTACTCAAACAAAAGCCTTTAGACTCCAATGCAAACCTCCATATTAAGTTTTTTCCTGAACTCTTTCTCTATTCTTATCCAGAGGAAGGATATCATCAGTGAAAAGCATACACTATGGTACATCTTCTTGTAAATGTCTAGTGAGAGCATCTATAACTAAAGCAAAATGATATGAGTAAAGCCAATCCCTGATGTAATCCAATTGAAATAGGAAAATACTTTGTCATTTCTCCTTCTGTTCGTGCACAAGTAACAGCTCTATCATACATATCTTTACTGAATTGGATATATCTCATATCAACACCTTTATTCTTAAAAACTCTTGAAAGGACTTCTCTTGGAACCTTATTGTAAGCTTTTTCTAAATCAATAAAAATCATTTGTAGATCCTCCTTACTCTCTCTGTGCTTCTCCATCAAACCTCTCAATAATGTATAGTTACTGTGCTTCTCCATCAAACCTCTCAATAATGTATAGCTACCATGGTAGACCTGCCCGACATAAATCCAAATTGATTATGAGAAATCTTTGTATCACGTCTTAACCTATGTTTCAATTACCCTCTCCAATAATTTTAAAGTATGACGCATCAACTTAATTCCTCTACAAGTTGCACACTCTTGTGCATCCCCTTTATTCTTAAAAATGGGGACAAAAATACTCTTCCTCCACTCCTCGGGCATATTTTTAGTTTTAAGACAATACCAAAGAGTTTAGTAAGCAAAAAAACTCTCAAATCTCCTAAATATTTTGACACTTTAATTGAAATATCATCAGGTCCTACTAATCTTCCACCTTTGGCTTTCTTTAAAGTCTTCTCAATTTTTTTTTTATTAATGCGACGGTTATTAATGCGACGGTAAAAATAAAATATTTTATTTTTATTAATGATATTAAGATCACTAAGGTTGATTTTTTTTTCAGAAATTACATTGAAAAGTTTATCAAAATAGCACACCCCCTATGTTGAAAATCTTTTTATAAAAAAAATACTTTTTGATTTTCATAATTAATACACTTTACTTGAATTAAATATTTACTTTTCTGTCTATTTATTTGTCTAGCTTATACATATATTTTTTCACATTCTTTAGTATTTAATATATTACAAAGATCACTAAAACCAGAATTTTTAACGTTACAAATTATTCTCTTAAACTCCCTACGCGCCACCTTATATTTTTTTCAAGTTCTCTAAGTTTTTACATTTAAATCAATTTTTCTAACATAATTTCTTACATTCTATCTTTTCTTGCACATTATTATTACATCAACTATTTTTATTTATAAAAATTTTCCTTTTAATTCTTCAAGTACATCTTTCTTCACTTGTTTAATATTGTTTGTAACTTTCCCCGCATAGAATTAGCTATTTCATGAACATCACATCTTGAAATCTTGAAGTTTACTCATACAAATATTCTTATTTGTCTTTTAGGTACCCCCATATAATTCTATGACAATATTTTAATATGATCTTCATCTTACATCTCTTATCGTAAAATTCAGAACTAATAATCGATATTAAGTATTTAAATTTTCACTAAAATGACCTTAAGAACTTTACATTTTTGACGATCTTTTTTTTTATAAGAAAATAATCAATTTGTGTTTTATTAGAACCATTCTTATAAGTAATATTATGCACATCTCTATTCTTAAATAAAATATTAGCAATAACAAAATCATACACTAAAGCAAAACCTAATATAGTTCTGCATTTTCCATTAATAATTCCAAAAACCGTTGCCATCATTAATATTTCTAAAATCTTCTATCACTCTACCAACAAGTTTATTTAAATCTCCTGCAATAAAAATTCTTTATTCAAGTGGTACCATTTCTATCAGTTCTCCTAGGTCATTCCAGATTTTTCTTTTGAACCTATATGAGCATAAACACTTATAACATTAAAATCTTAGTATCAACAACAATCGTTAGTGCTATAAGTATATCTCCAATTCTATTAAATATTACAATATTATCTTTCAAACACTTATCTATAAATATACCTACACTATTTCTAGTGTGACTCCTACTTAAATGCCAGAATTTAAAACCAATGCTATCAATCTCCTTCGCCTTTTTGCAACCAAATTAGTATCTTGAATACATAAGATCCTTATCTTTTTATAAACTATAATATCTATTAATTTATCTGTGAGAGTAATTATATTTCAAGATCCTATCCTAGACTCTTATTCTAAGATCCCATCCTATTAATTTATCTGTGAGAGTAATTATATTTCAAGATTCTATCCTAATAATTATTTCAAGATCATATCCTACACTCTTATTCTAAGATCCCATCCAAATAAGAATTTTATGCGCATTAATGAATGTGGTCATCTTGGCATCATCCTAGTCATATGTATTTGATGATATGATGAAAAAAGCATCCAAAAAACTCATAATAGTGTATATGATAGTAGTGTTGACCATCATGTTTGAATGAACATTGTACAACTATCTTTTGATCAAATTGTGATCAAATTGAATACATCCATCCTTTTTTATTCAGTTTACATACCATCACGATATTGGAGATCCACTATGAATACAAGAATTCTCTTATAAAACTTGCTTCCATCAGCTTTCCAATCATTTTACATATGATTTTGGCTGGTTCGTAGCTATAGATAGATTTTTTTCTCGATTGACCTCCCCCTTTAATCAACAGTCACTCTATGGAGAGCAACATGGAGGTCAAGCTTGGGCATTTTCATGATTAGCCAAGCAAAATATGTCCATATGTTCATATTTTTTATTAGCTTATTTTTGTATTCAGTCGAAGGACAAAATAATCTAAAAGGCATGGCAACTTCCGTCCCTAGATGAAATGCTTTGATATTCTCCAAGATCTCAAAGCTTGAGCTCACATGAACCTCAAAGTTGAGCACCTCCCCCTAGAAACCACTTACAGCTTGAATATAGCAAGTCTGAGATTGTCTCAAGTCACTCTCCTCATGATGACCACTTATCCCTCTATTAAGAATTTCATAGCAACATGGTATATTAAGATGACTGTGAAAAGTATTAAGCAATCTGTCAAAAAAAAAAAAAATATGTTGTGAGTTTTCTGGGCGTCAACCACAACAAAATTGGTCATCGTAGTATATTGTTACTGTTCCTCGCCCAAGGAAATCTGTAGAATTATAATTTCTTCAATTTTTATTGTTTCATCTGAGAAACTGTGTAAGGGGGTCTATATTTGTGTCAGTTCGGTTCCTTTAACACTCATTTTTGCATATTAGCATTTCAAAATAACATTAACCAAGCACCCTGTATTGATTAAAATTTACAACCAAGTTGGTAGTTTGTTATCAGCACCGTGGCTATAATTATGTTCCTATAAGACCTATTACTTGATATATTGTTGGTATGAGAAAAGATAACAAGAATGAGCTCTACAAATGATGCCTACATCACCATGGTTAAGTTTACCTCTCTGCCAACCATAACTATTTGAGGCTAGCTCTTCAAAGTACACTTCCTTTAGAGGTTAAAACTCCAATAATGTGAATAGCTCGTGCCAGAATGTCCAGACTAAACTAGTGTATGTTAAAATCTCAAAAATATAGTAAATAAACTCCAAAAACATGAAACTCACCAAAACACTTCAAGATATGTTTAATTAATATTTTTTAGAGTTTCAAGATAAATTTATTAATAAGTTATCCACACTAAATTCGTAAGGTTAGAGGTTTTTCTAATTTTGGGGTTTCTTGTGTTGGCTGACACTTTTTAGGCTTCGAACTTTTATTACACTTGCTGACCTTGTCCACTAAGACATGTATTCTCTCCTAGCCCTCTTAGAAAGACGATCAAATAATAATTGTCCTCCTTTCAGTGGACAAACACCAAGCCACACCACCTTAGCCCAAACAATGTAATCGGCATTGCAATTGCATGCAACATGATTGATCCAAATACACTAGATGTATTAGCATATCATGATCATCCTATTGTTAGGGATATGGGTGACTAAAATTGGCATTCTTATGACTATGATGTTAGTATTTCTAGTATAGAATAATGTGTAGAACAAATCTTTTAATTCTCCAGGAGAAATGGAAATATAGAAATATATATATATAGATATATAAAGAGAGAGAGAGAGAGAGAGAGAGAGAGAGCAACTCTCCAAGGTTTATGAAACTTGAAGCAAAATGCTAGGAATGCTAAATCGTTGGTTTTATAGATCCCTTTAATGATGTATTTTAGTTTTTTTTTCACTAAGTATTTGCAGTTGAATAATGTTGTACTCATTTCAGTGACTTATTAAAAAAATTTTAGTTTTAAGAAATTATATATTTGGAATTTCAAATAATGGGTAAAAAGGTACTCAATCTCATTTTTAACAAATCCTGCAGTCAGCATAGCTCAGACGCACCCGTGAATCCTTTGCCAAGCTCACCAAAAGAGAAGCCTTGTGTCTGCATGAAATTAGAAAAGGGTAAGTTTTCCAAATGTATAATATAAGAAAGAATTTATGCAAAAAGTACAAATAAAGAGCTTTTTCTTTTTTTTTTGCTTTTTCACATTTGACAACAAAAATTTATGATGCAAGTCTTCATCATAATTAAAGTAGTTCAAGATACTTGGATTCAGCATGTTTCACAATTAAAAAAATCAAATTCAATTTTATTTTTAACAAACATTGATTAACTATGCATTTCAGCTTCATGTTTCTCATATATTCTTCTAACCACAAAATTATGACATTCTCTTCAATACTAATCAACAATAAAAACTAAGCAATTTGTTCTTGTACTATTGTTGTGCTCTGAAAAAAAGGGTTGGGTTAATCACCCTTACTTCTAGTAACTAAGATATCTCACATGAGTTTTTTAAAATTATTGTTGTCACTCACGTTGTTATATATGACATTACATGTTAACCACAATCAAATAAGTGAAAGCTTAAAAATGAAATATAAGTAATTTCAAAAAAAAAAAAAAAAAGAGGGGCACATGTAACATTGATTATCGATTGGAGAGACGAGTAAAAAGATTTAGAAATAAAATTAGCATGCCCTAAATTATTACACTCTGGGCATTCATTATGTCAATGGCTACTTGATGCACAAGCTTAAGGGGCCGGCGTAGCATTTTTGTCGCGGTGCAGTGGGGATATGCCGAATGTTTTGTTTGGTTGTTGCGGTGAGGCCGTGTTTTGGGATTATCCCGCTGCCCACGTTTTGGGATAAGCCCGATGCCCTCAATTAGCACACTCTAAACATTCATTATGTCAATGGCTTCTTAATGCATATGCTTAAGGGGCCATTTGGCGAGCGTTTTTGCGTTGGTGTGGTGGGGAAATGGCAAAAGGTTTGTTTGGATGTTGCGGTGAGGCCGCATTTAGCGATAAGCCCGTTGCCCACATTTTTTCGTTATCATTTTTACACACAGACACCCCCCTGCCCCGGATCCTCGCTCGCCTTCACTCTCCTGACCCGCTGTCCCCTCTATGGCTCTGTTGGCTAAGGTTCTGTCTTCTTCCTTTGGTTCCAGTGGTTGTTATGGTGAGCTTGTCTTTCTTCTCCCTCTCCCCTTTGTTATTCGACTCTCTCCTCTGTGGCTCCGGTGGCTAGGGTTGGTTTCGTTTGGTTCTGATAGTTGTTGCGGTGAGTTTGTATTTCCCTCTCCCCTCAGTTTTTCGGCTCCATTTGGATCATTTGCTCTCTGTCGCCCAAAGGTATTCTCTACCATTGCATATTCGAGCATTTTGATTTTGCGAATCTTTTTAGTTCTTTGTGCTCGATGATAGTTTGGATTCTTTGTGCTCTATTTTCAGTTGACGGTTTACAGGTGGATGTGTTGTGACGTTGGATTTTGTAACTTTCTTGGGTGCCTTGTGCTTTATTCGGTTGATGGATTTGGGTTATCCATGCTCTATTCAATTGATGGTTGTGTTGTGATGTTGAATTTTGTGATTTTAATGAGCTCTATGTGCTCTATTTGGTTTCATGAAACTTGACTTCTCTTTGCTCTATTTGGTTGATGGATTTGGGTGGTTCTACAGCTCTGCTAATTGTTTCCTGAAATATGGTGGTGGTGTTGATAGCATGTAAAAATTATTTGAAATACTTCTGGCTTTGTGGTTATGTAGTAATGCTCTGGTTGGTAGTGGTGGTGATTTTGTGAGTGTTTTGGGGATTATATTGGTGTGTTATTGTCACACCCCAACTACCCCCATGATAGGGTCACTCATGGTGCGACAGAGGCTGACAATTTGGTCATACCAACTCTCACTAGCACTCGTAATGACATTCATAATCAGAACACAGTCGGTGATGAATTAGACTAACTCGATCGCCGCAAAATACGTGATATATTGCATTTTATATATTTGAAAGCATTGAAATCATATCATCTAAAACATGAAAATTATATAGAGTTACTAAATCCAATATAATAAAAAAAAATATGAACCAAAAACATATGTTCAAATCTCCCAAAATTCTTGTTCAAAAGCCATACAAAAAAACACCTAACTACTCACCCCTGTGCTCGTTGCCAAAATACCGACTCAAGACATATGTACAATACTCCCAAAATTCTTGTGCAAAAGCTATACAAAGACACACCTGGCTACTCGTCCCGGTGCTCGTTGCCCCTACCTAGAACGTAACAATGAAGAATGAGCAATAACGAGCTCAGAAAAATAATCAGAGCTAACATAAGATTTTATACATGAAAAAGAAACAATGTGCATGCTCGTATGAAACTATCCATGTCTACACATAAGTCATAGCAAGCTAGTATAATAAAAAACATGAAAAGAGAGCAGATAGAGGTAGTATAAAAATCAACTATAGTGTAACATGCAGGTCGTAAACATAAAATCATAAATAAAAGCATGTTTATAGTATATTTTCTTAGAAATATCATTTCATGGTGGTCATATCATAATAATATCACTTGTTTAATGTATAGGTTTCAACTATTTTCATGTTATTTTATCATTGACCATCACCCTGCCCCAAAAGTCTTAAAAACTATCAATAAATGTTGGACTTCTCCCAACATAACAATTATCGAAACCCCCCCTTGATACCCACGTTCTTTCACCCCTAATTCCAATAGTTCCCAAAGTTTCGTCCCTATATAAAAATCAAGAGTTAGGAATGTTATATCCCTGCATAATATACTTGCAAGCACTTATATAATAGTCTAACTCCTAACAGTCCTTGTGACATTTAAATCATCACTCCTGCACCAAGCATTTATCAGGCATTACAAGTATCATAGACATAAGCATGAAACATAAAAAAAAGAATATTTGCAAGAAATTCATATCATATGTATAATCAAATGTAGCATAGTATGATCATAGCATTACATGTATCGTAAGAAAAATATACGTGCACTCATACTTTAATTGCAGGTATCTATTTATAATATGTAAAAATGTTCTAAATGCATCAGTGTCAACATAGAATTCATATGAAAGCTTATCGAATATTATTTTTATTAAATTAACACAAAATTATTTCACTCTACTTGATGGAGAAGCCCTACGATGAGTGCCCACACCCTCGTCTTGAGCTCAACGCCTCGTATATACAACCTAAACTGGTAGACAACATAGTGTTTCGTAAAATTTGGCTCATAATATGATTAACCAAAAACATGCAAATGCCAAAACATACCTTAAAAAAACTTGACATAAATTTTGCGTTTCTGAAAACACCAAATTTCTCTCCAACACGTCTAACATCTTAATCTTCACTTTCCCCTGCTAATTTCGTGTTGAAACCAGTACAAAAGTTTTTCAAATCACTTTCGATGCTTCTGACACGAGTAGGACGCCTCCAACGGCTACCAGAAATGAAAAAAAGCACGAAAATCAGGGCAAAGTCAAAACAAAAGAGTTAAGAAGGAAATGAAAATCTCAAATGACAAAAGAGAGGGATTCGTACCATTTAATTTCGTTCCCGAAGATCCCTACAGCAAGTTCTGGTCTCCCTGTGTGTCGCTTGATCCGCTGCTGTCCCTTGCACCGCAACAAGGGTCGCAGCTCCTCTACCAAGCCGCTATCGAGTCGTTGCAATGAGGGAGAGGGGGAATCGAGAGAGAAGAGAAGGGAAAGGAAAGTTTGAGGGTTTGGAGCCCTAAAATGCAGCCAGCAACCACGCTAATGCCGCTCGACTCCCAGTTCGAATCATGTTGCACTGCCTCTTGCAAATTCCTCGCGGGATCACCTCCAAACAAGTGAAACCGAGATAGTGAGAAGGAAATCGTAGCACTTAAGTAATTCTCCCCTCACAACCCTATGATCGCATCAAACATTGCATGTGTAAATAAGTGGGTAATGTTGGCTAGCTACAACAAGGAGATGCGACTAGAGAAGTTAGGATAATAATTAAGATTTAATTAAAATAACTATAATTATAACTTCAAAATTAAATCTCTCAAGCTGTTTGTAATTTAAATACGGTGATTTAAATGGAATTGATCGATTTCTCGTGTGGAATTAAATAAAATTATTTAGATTGAGTTCCGAGAGACGTAAAATTTAGGCATTTTTTCAATTATGTCGCACTTTACCTGGTATTTTGAAAATTGGGCGTTACAGCTCTCCCCTCATAAAAATTTCGTCCTCGAACCTTTTGAATTTACTGAAATAGGAAGGGATATTTTTACAGTATTTTTCTTCTTTTTCCCATGTTGCTTCCTCTTCAGGTCTGCGCTTTCACTTTACCTTCACAAAGGGATCTGTCTATTTCGGAGTTTCTTAACATTAGTCACTAAAATCCTTTCAGTCTCTAAAATTCTTTCAGTCTCTTCAATATATGTTAAATTTTCCTTACTTCAATATCTTCATGTGCAACTGCTCTGAATTTAAAACTCATTTTCTTAACATGGAAATGTGAAACACATCATGTATATCTGACATATTCACAGTTAACGCTATTCTGTAGGCGACTGGACTGATCCTTTCTATAATTTCAAAAGGACCAATGTACCTGGGACTCAGCTTGCTTACCTGACTAAATATAGGCCTGAATTTTAAAAATACGAAATCTCCAACTTTAATTTCGATTGCCTTGTGTCTTGAGCAATAATATTTCTGCTGTCGATCCTGAGTTAGCTTTCAATCTATCTCTAATTAATTTGATTTTCTCTGCGGCCTTGTCAACTAGCTTGAGACCTAACATTTGGCGTTCACCCACTTCAACTTAACTGAGTGAAGTTCTGCACTTTCTACTGTAAAATGCTTCAAAAGGAGTCGTTTTAATACTGGATTGATAGCTATTGTTATAAGCAAACTCAATCATTAGAATGTGATCTTCCCAACTGCCTCCAAAGTCGAGAACACAAAGCCTTCACAGATCTTCCAATACTTGAATTGTTCTTTCTAATTGTTCATCGATTTGTTAATGAAATGTAGTGTTGAAATGTAACTGTGTACCAAAACTTTGTTGAATGCC